GAGGGGGGAGAGTCGAAGGTGAGAGTCGTGAGCCCCTGAAGCAGGGGGAGGGGGGGATGAAAAGTCATATTCCCTTAATCAATTCACCCCCCCACACCTCTCTTACCACCCTGACTTTTCATGTAAAACAGAGAATTCTCTCGTGTTATATAATTGAACTTGAAAAAACTAGAATTGAAAATTCTATTGATTGCGTTTTATTTTATACATTTTTTATATATTTTTATACTTGCGTTTTATTTCATATACTCAATATTATATGTTTATAATATTTGTTCTTTTTAACAGATACGAATTACTCTAATTTACAATTGATAACCTGAAGCATGTATTGCAACTTATTACAACGTTCACAGAACTTCTTTACTCATACTGATCGAATTTTATTTTATTAATTACTGTGAGTTTTATTACATTTTTACTTGCGATTGAGAGCGAATTTTAATTTTTAACTTTGTAATATATTTTCACCGTCTTATTTTTATGTATCTAACATTGATAATGATCCAACAGGGATCGAAACGTTTGTTTGTTTGTTTGTGTGTTTGTGTATATTGTTCATTGCCGGCATATTTTATATTGTGACTACATGACATATTTATTTTGTATTTTTTAAAACATCACTATTTCCTAACGACTTATTCTTAGGCTCGTGGCCCTTTTTCTTTCATTTTTTAAATTTTTTGAGCCTTATTATTATAACATTATAATTGAACTTTTTTTTTGTTCATAACTTTTTAACGGACAGCGACCAACACTAAAACCTAGTGGAGGATACTCGGGATCACAACCTTGACAACATATGTCAAGGTCCAGGTCATCAGAGGTGGCTCCCCTTTTCTTAACATTTACCGCAGAATCGTTTAGATGTATTTTCGCGCTATTAACGGAAGATTATCGTTTCGACTAGTAAAAAAAGACTATTTTCATTTTCGTTTTAAACTTTACGGACAATTTATTTTAAACTTTATATACATAACATTGTAATACATACTTTATTTATAATAATGTTTGAAAGTAAAAATAATGAAAATTATAGTAATTATAAATATGTTTGCACGATGTATCCCAGTCTTTTATGGTTCTTATCAAATCTAGACACTTAGTGATCTGAAATAAAAAAATGAATAAATTTATTAATAGATGTTAGTCAGTTCAGTTATTCGTCGAAATTAGCTGAATTAAAATATACAAATTTTTTATTTTTTTCTATCATAAAACTTTACTTTTATGATGATTTTGTAAATATAATTTTTACACGCTTTAAAATTATTGAGAAAATAATTTATTTTGTATAATCTTAATTTCGCTAACCGAACATCTATTTCAGATTACTAAATGTCCAGATTTTATGGGAGCAGTAGAAGAACAATATTTTGAGTACAAATATTTTTATGACTATTATAATTTTTATTACTTGCAAAAATTATTAATTATATACAAAATATATATTATTATATATATATATATATGTAATTATTTTACGTATATATAAAGGTTAAAATAAACCAATAAACCCTTCTAAAGCTTGTAAAGAATAGTGTCCAAACTTATATTTTTTACATAATTTTCATTTGCTTATAAAAGACTATTGATTTATCATGAAATTGCAAGTAGGAATGGCAATGTAAATAATTCTCATAATGAGCTCAAATACTCAAAAAATAGCGCGATTAGAGAGATATGACCCAATGATGATATAATATGTATTTGCAAAAAATATCTATTAAATGAATCATTATAAGATCGGTCTTTTAATATAGCACTTTCTCAAAGAGAATTCCATAGCTTATATATCATTTATTTATTACAACAACATAACTCAAAAAGTAAAATTTTCCAAAAAATAAATTTTAATGTTTTAAATTATAAAAATTTATAATATTAATTTTTTAATGCAAATTTGTTGCAATAAATGGCTATAGAGGAATCAGATTACTATCAAGATTATATTGATGAGGAATGTTAAAATAATTACTGATTATATAGGAATAAAAATATGTACTTTTAAATGTTTTTTTTCTTTTTTCTTTATTTTTCTACTCATCTTCCGCAAGCAATTAAAAAATGATAATTTTTTAATTATGTCGTTGTAACAAATAAGTGTTATGTGATTTTGTAATTTCGTATAATATGAATTCAAATGAGACATAAATCTTACAAAAAATCCTTATATGAATTTTAATTATAATATAAATAATTACTGTTTAAATATATTTATAAGTGCAATTATGTCTTATCAAAACGCTTACCATCAATTCTTTAAAAAAGTCATGGTAATTTGATATTATTTACTCTCTCTGAAGCTGTTTATAAAATTATAAAATTAACAGAATAATTATTTAATCGTGCAATTACAATGAAGGTCTTTTACTGAATCTCGGTTTCACTCAACGGTGCAATTAACAACATATACTTAGACTAAGCATTCAAACTTTGTCATGAAATCAAGTTGACAAAGAAATTGTGCAACAAAGATAAGCTATTGTTACTTCTGTCTTGTCCTCCGAGACAATCAATTTTATATTGTACATATCATTTTAAATAATTTAACATATGTATCTACTGTGTATTATTTTATAACAGAATAATAATAATAAATAAATTTCAAGGCTAATGAGAGTCAGCGCGGAAGGAGTTGCGCACAGTTATTGATAAGTAAAAAAGACGTATATGACACACGGACGTATTGAAATTATCTTCGTTATAAATGTCCGTGACACGTGTTATTATTAAATTAAAGTGAATTATCGCATAAGGAAATCCAAAAATTTTTCCAAAGCTTCTGAATTATGTTGAGTGCTCCGTTCGAGAATCCACTACAGTTGTGGAAATCTGAGAGTGACTCATTCAGGACGGACTGCTTAACGTTTTTGACCGAATTAAACGGAATCTAATTATCATATTGCTGAGGATGACTATAAAGCCAGTTAAAACGTTCAAGATTTTGAAATAAAGAAGACATCAATGTTATGAAGAAGTAATTTTTACTTATTAATAACTGTGCACAACTCCTTCTGCACTAACTCTTATTAGCCTTGAAATTTATTTATTATTATTATTTTAAATATGAGAGTTCGATTTAATCATTATATTTTTTATAACAGAATATTTCATAATAGAGAGAATTTATATATATTTTAAATTATAAAAAAGAAGAATAAATCTTAATTATTAAAAAAATCATATATATTATATTATTTGTTTGATTAGGTTCCGTAAAAAACTGCGTTTTTTTTTTAGCATCGTTGAACATTATTTCGATACTGTGTATAGTACAGGG